CTTTAGATGAATTTCTTTAGAGGTTTTAAAAGTTCGCCAAGAATGATACTTAAATGCTTGTTAAGTTACGATAAACGTTCTGTTTATGTGATGTATGCAATAGAACCACCGAAATACACATCTTTTAAAGAGAAAAGCATTTGGTTTTCAAATGTAATAGTCGTAGGAACAGTAAAACGTTGCACGCGCTGTATTTCAAGTTACAATGCGTCAACATAACGAAGTTACCTTACAGGAATTTTATGTGGTTATCTCGCGTCGTAGACGGTACCAATTGAACTTGACTTGGTGAGTGAGATCACAGTTCTTGTTAGCTGCAATCAGGTATACATTTTTGCCCAACTCCGCCCTGCGTCAGGAATAATGAAACAGCTGTCTTCTGCCATAAAGAGTAGCGTATGTTTTTAATCCTATGTTATGGCCAGTTAACTGCTAGGATGTGACGACAATGCATCATCCCATTGTGTGTTAACAAGCGTACGGGATGTGTACCGCAAGGTGTGGTTCTGCGCTGCAGAAGCCCGCGATGAAGTGTTGAAAAGCGGGTTCCCCAGTACCACGTTGAGACAACACAATCATTCAGCGTCTTTTGATGTAGGATGACTGACGAGCTGACGAGTTCAGTCGTCACATGCACATATTTATGTTGCTGAATTATTTAAAGCGCATTGGTAACTACATTTACCACATTCTTTAACACCCAGTAACTCTGAAGTATGCTCTCACTGCATTTATGGCTTCCGTATGATTATCAGATTAAACAGCGATTATTTCCTTCAACATCATTAACAAGTCGATCTTAATCATGGAGAAGTTCCCTGTTCTCTTTGCGGTACGAACTGAATTCTTAAATAATTATTTCGTAACACGCCGAAAACTGGCCTACAACAAAGTTGAAGGTGGAAATGTAAATAAAAGTGTAATCTTGTTTTGGACACCCTTGTTTTACTGACGTATGTGGTCCTTCATGAGGTTCAGTGATTGAAGGAAATTTGCATAGAATGCATTATGAAGCCGTGCGTAATTCAGACTTGAGCGCAGTGCCTCTCATATGCTTTACACACCTCTCTTACATTCTGTCAGTGATAAAAGTTCATTCCTTTGGAACATCTACTAAGTGTCAGCTTCACAAGAATTCTGCTCAGTAGAGGGAGTCGGAGTAGAACGTTCCATGAATTTTTACTGTGTGCTGATAACGAAATGCAGGAGCAGTGTATAAACACCGAGCGATGTCTCATCTACACAGGTTCGAAGCTTTCTGCAGTACTCAGTTCTGCACCGCAATAAGATCGGCGCATGTCCTGGATGAGGAGTCGTGGAGATCCTTTCACCAAAGGACACTTCTGGTTCACACGTCGGTCCAGTGCGGACGTTGCTTCATGTGCAGCCGTTTCGGCACGCTTCCGACATCTTTACGAACGCGGCTGATAAATCGCGCACAACAAGAAACGCTCAGTAATTTCTTGTAGAAATTGTAGGTGTAATTCATCTTTCGTACAGTGCACAAGTCTCTCGTACATTTTACTCTTATTAATTTACATTCGGAACTCGATCAACGGGATCATGTCACATATGTCATTCTTACATACAGAACTAAAGCTACTTTCTGATGGCTAGTGTACAAATACTGATAATCGTTGTTTATGGGTGGATTCAATAAAATCCCATTTACTCTTGGCCGAATCTGTAGTCCAGTGGTATTCAACCTGGGGTACGCGAAGACATCTTAGGGGGTACGTGAAATTTAACAAAAAAATAATTTATGATAAACACTGAATAATCAGTAATGTAATTTATTTTAGATGTAGATTATATACTATGTATAACTTGAATTATACACCAACAACTTTGGGGGTACAAAGTTGAGAAGAAATTATATCTGGGGGTACGCGAACAAAAAAGATTGAATATCACTGTTGTAGTCCACCAAGTTTCCTGTCCAGAGGATACTTGGAGTAAATCGGCCGGATCTTGAAGCTGCTCACGTCCGAGACGCATTTTCCCTATTTCCATATTTTTGCTGTGTTACTCAGGCCTGGACACGGTTTCCCCTTAATAAATTTAGGGGGTCTCGAACCCTGTTCATCTCAGTGGGAAGCCTGTCTGCCAGCAGTAAGAACAACACGTGTATTATTGCTCTTTTCCAGGTACACATGACCTGCCAATTTGTATTGTCACTTTACATTCTGACAAATATGTTGAACTGTTATTCCTGGATTGGGCATCGTGTATTCAAATCTATCAGGTCAAATAGTGACCTCATGTCAGTGTGTGCCCTTTGACCTCCTCCCTCGTCGTCCCATGGGAGCAGTTCAATGCGAGACTCGCGTTACATACAGCAGGGGCCATAAAAACAGCCACGGAGTAACTCGCGTCAATTTGATTCATAAATCAAAACGTCTGAACGATGACAGCTAATTCATCTCTGACAGATTGCAAATAACAAGTAGAATACGTGAGTGACGTCATATGGAGCGTAACAGAAATTCGAAATGTTTACTTCCAAAATGCAAAATAGAATATCGTATTACAACCATATAAGAGCATTTAATGTAAGAAGAATATTATTTTTTCATAATTTTGCGGCTATACGGTTGATACTAAGTGGAAGTGACGTAAGGAGTTAATAAGGTAGGCATGACATAATTGTATTCTACACGAGTTTCATTTGTCTGTACCGAGTTTCCGTCGTTAACCAACACAGACTGATAGTTAAAGTTTTGACGTAAACTTTAGCGGGGTGAGAGGTAGGCTTAACGGGAGAGGGGGTAGTCGTAGTCGCTTGGCGACGTTGGCGTCATGGCGGCGTCTTGCTCTTTAGACGGTTTCCATATTTGAAATCAATTCGATGCGAGAGACA